CTTCTCTAAGATGCTTTGGCAATACAGGACTCTTCAACATGCATACAAATGGAAGAGTATGGTGCATGTGAAGTGGTATGCATTTTCAAATATGTGAGGCCATGCTTAGAACTTTTGCTTGAAACTGGGGGGGGACCAACAGGAGCTGGAGGCTTCTGATCTGAGATGATTCATCCCTAAGGGATGATGGGTTAACTGGTCTAGATAACTGACTATAGGGGTAGACTTTACAGGGAGAATATGTCAGGGAATTACAGGAATTTAAGGAGTGCAAAGCAGAAGAAAAGGAAAAAGAATGCTTGGAAAAGGAAGGATGTGAATACTAGACACCTCCAGGGTAAGATGGGAAAGCTGAGTTGGTGTTAAATGAAAATATGGATATAGCTCCATTGTAGAAACCTGGAATGGTGGGGAAAATCAGTGGAATACAGCCAGGGCTATTTTTGGGCAGGAACCCACAGGAACAGAGTTCCAGCTGGCTTCCAAGTTGGCCACACCCAACAGGAATGCATTAGCGTAATAGGCCACACCCAACATCAGAAACTCATTAGGATTGGCTACATTAGGGGTGTGTGGCCTAACATACAAAGGAGTTCCTGCTACAAAAAAGCCCTGGGTTTGGACAACAAACAAGGTAAACAGAATAAGAAGCAAAGGTGGGTGTGGCTGGATGACCACACTTCTGGTAACATGGGGGTGTGGCTTAATATGCCAATGAGCTGTGCTGTCAGGGGTGTAGCCTAATATGCTAATGAGTTACTGTTGTTGGGTGTGGCCTATTATGCTAATGAGTTCCTGCTGGGCTTTTTCTACAAAAAAAAGCCCTGAATACAGCTATCTCTGAATATAAAGTACATAGGAAGGACAGGGAGCCTGTATCAGGGATAGTAAGGCTAAGTCTATATGTCATAGAGGGCATATAATACAACAAACATAATTGTATTAGTGAAAATGTCAGGCTTAAAAGGTAGTGTCATGCTGAGGACATACAATTGGCTATCTGACCAAAACTCTGAGGATGATCTTGAAATAGGAAAGAAATAACGGAGGCAACCGGAGGAGAAAGTTGCATAATAATGGTTGTCTTCACCTAGTTCCATATTGACTAATTAAATGTTTGTTTAGTTCATGGGAAAGAGACAAAATTCCTAGATACCATAAAGGCCAGTTGGTCATGGAGCCTGCCAAAAGGTGGGTGACTCTGAGCTTGGCCCAGCACCTGGTATGAGATTTATTATTTATTATTTATATTTATTTATTTATTATTCACATTTTTATCCCGCCCTCCCCGGAGGCTCAGTGTTCCTGTCCTGTTGTCACACCAGGCAGGAACACTGATCATAGTTATGCCCAGTTTACCACTTAGGTGAAAGGAAGGTTCCCCTCAAAGTCCAAAACAACCACACTTGATTCAAAACAGATCAAAATGGGAGGATTAGTTAATGTACAATTTTCATTTGCACTTTAGTATTTACCACAACAAACATCAGTTTAGGTATGGTAAACCCAATGCAACTGATGCTGCAGAAGAGAAGGGAAAATTCTGTCAGGAATTAAGTAAAAGAAAGTGGACTTTAAAACACAGGGGGGAAAGACACCCTTATCTTCAGCCACATACTTGTCCTCAAAGAAAAAAATTGAATTTGGCCTTCAGCAGCTCAATTTCCTTGAGGAAAATAGATTTTGTTACATGAGATGGCTCTTTATTGCTTCAAGAAACCTGAAGCCTCCTCTAGGTTCCTACAAGCAGACTGATGAACAGCTAACAGAATCTATCTTCAGCTGAATCTGTATTTTTTTATTTTTAGGGTCAAACCAGATGAGAGATCTGTCATCAGATCCTCTATATTTTAAAATGCTAATAGAAGATAAGCTGATTGTCATTAACCCCCACGCTTGCCCATCTTTTTTTCTTTGAGGACAACAAATTCTATGGGGAGGGGAGGCTGACTGTGATTGGCAGAATGACTTGGATGAGAGAACATTATACCCTTTCCCCACTACATGGCCTGGATCCACTTCAGGGCTCCATGGAGCTCGCATTAGCATTTTGCAAAAAAGTGAGAGCATCAAATCAGAGATAACCCAGTGTCTTACCTAGTTTGACTCTGTGTTGAACTATTTGTTTACATTTGTATCTTGCCTTTCTTCACCAGGGCATTCAAGGCAATGCATATTAGGTTTTCCAGAATATTTCTTGTCCAGGTACTGATCAGATGAAGACCTACTTCATTTTAGCAAGGTTGCTATATCATGTGCTAGGAACTCTACTCACTAAGCAAATAGTGTTGGTGAACTAGATGCTGGGGGTATTTATGACTCTTGTAGTATCTTCAATGATGTAGTAATCTTTGCTAGGTGATGAAGGTTTTTAGGCCTGGGAGTAACTCCCATGATAAATTAGTCAATTAGAACACAAACCAGGCAATTATTTACTCAGTTTTTTATTTCTGTAGTTGGGGGACATTTGGTAGAGTGACTTGGACATTCCCCCAAATGTGGAAATGCAGCCTTACTGATGAGGAGAATCTAGAAAGTTTAGCTATGAAATGCAGTGGGCTTGCATTCTGCCACTGTGTTAGCTGTGTGATAGCACTTCTCATGTGCACATTTCTAGGCAATAGGCCAAAGAAGTCAAACGTATTAGAGAAGGAGCCAAGTCACACAGGTGTAAAACAACCTCCTTGAGAACAGTTGCCAGGTATTAAGAGGAGCCAAAACCCAAAACCCATTGTGCAACTTGTTTTGGTATGAAAAGCACTTGTTGGAGTGCCTCTCTAACTGTGGATTCAGTCCAGCTCTAGCCACACATAGCAGTTAGTAGCCCTGGATGTGCATTCCAATCTACAGCAAAAGAGACATTCAGGCTTTACAATGAACATCATGAAGCAGATGGAAATGTGCATCCAGAATTCCAAATTAGTATCTCCTTCTACACTGTCCCCACAAACATAAGAAAGCTTCCACGTGTGGACTGCACTTACCCATTGAGGGAACTTGGGTGGACTGAAGCATAAATTGTGGATTTCTTTTTAGGTAATCACCTAAAACTGGAGAACTGGTTACTTTTCCAGTTAAATAGTACATCTCAGAGAGGTCTAGTTACATTCAATATAGTTCTTGCAGATATTGCAGAAATAGTAATTCCATAAAATACGGGGAAAATAGAAAATAATGGTATGAAGTCAATCAGGAGACTATTTTCACACATGGCACTAAAAGTGCATGGAAGTCTTTCTTATACTGCATATGCTATATCTATTTGTTCTAGATGTTGCTGGATGACAAGAAGAAATATAAAATGTACATTGTAGTCTTCACATTTGCACAACAAACTGAAGCACAAATGGATTTAAACTTCACATGTGAAAATGTACTTAGATCATACAAGTTTACCTACTGTTGAGTTTTTTTCTTAACAGCTCTAAGCAAAAAATGCACAAAATATTGTAGGAGCTAAATGTTCTTTGAATTAAATCAAATGAGTCTGCTTTTGATTGGCCACTACAGTAGCTGTTAAGTATGTATAAGTCCTGTTCAAAACCATTTAACAAATTTTTCAAAGATATTGAGTAGTCACAGTGCAAGAGACATGCCAGTTCCTATTTTCCTGCAAAAATGAACAGGTTAGTTCACTGTTTGCAAATCACTGCAAAGATAGCTCAAAATGGCATATTCTGTGTTATATTTACTTATTTTCAATAGAGCCACACAAAGTATGGCTTACTTTATTTTCTCCTCTCAAAACATAAATTATTTTGATTTCTAAACCTAAATGCATGTTATTTCACAAGAGCCAGTGAACCACATAGCATCAAAAGAAAGGCCAAAGTTCAAATGAAAGTTGGCTTCCCCCCAAAAAAGAACCAATTCATAAGTTATCATATGTTTTGCTAGGGGAGTCAGAAGTATCCAAAGAAGCAGTGGCCATGCATGAGGGACTCATGGTCAATGGCAGAATCTCAGCACAGATCTATTCATGTTCCTGTGCACTTGGAGATGCACATCTGTTCTTCACAGTTTAGGTATATGTGTGGTGAACACAACCAAGAGATTCTTGGCACTAAGATTAGGGGATGTATGAGGCAAAAATGAAATGTCTTTAAATAGATAGCTTCAGATTAGTGTAAACACGATCCTTTTTGGAGTACTAAAAACTGCAATAGATGTTATAAGAGGGCAACACAACATGGCGAATTGTTTGAAAGGATCTACCATCCAGAACCTAGTGACTAAAGAGAAACTAAAGTTGTCTGACTGCTTTATTACTCTCAGGCACTTCACAGAACCTTCTGCTCTGCTTGAGAAAACATAAAAAATACCAATGTACTATAATTAAAAATAGTTTAGGGGAAGATTAGGCATAAACAATGGTTTTGATAAATCATCCTGTTTTTTAAAGGCTGACTTTGATCTAATAATAGATTTAGTAAATGAATTACCTATAAAAACACACAGATTTTCAAATGCAGACAATTCCCCCCCCCCGTAGTTTAAGCCCTAGGTTGTAGAGGTTAATTAAAGTTGCAAGGTTACTATTTGTAGAATCTGATAAGCTAATTTCCCCCCCCCAGTCAAATGGTCTGGGATTTCCTGTTATATATGCTAAAAAGGATGTGAGTCTCAGGTACGCTGAAAGTTGCCAACAATCCTTGGGAATCTCTGGTATGGATCGCTGCCAGGTAATGAACGAAAGGTATGCATCTGATATACTTCCACCGTATATGGGTGGATAATTCATATCTATAGCAACCTGCAAAATTCCTTTTCTGTATGCCATTAATTCTGGGGTTTCTAGTGCTGTGCATCTTCTCTTTATATGCTATGCATTCATGTTTAAGCACAAAGATGTTCTGAGCTCCCAAACAACAATAACAGCATAAACTTTATTCAATATTCCAAGAACTGTGGCACATGCAGGAACACCCATTTCTCTCTTTTCTGTCTCTGCATGAAACAGTCAGCAGTTGTAAGGTTTTTTTTTCATATTTAATACTCACCCAATAGGCTCAAAACACAGAACGCTGCCCAGAAAATCTGCCTCCTTTCCCTTGCTGTCAAACTCCACTGTAACATCATTCCCAGAGGTGGTTTATTAAGCAATGTCTGCCTATGAGTAAAACAGAATGTTTCTCCAAATTCCTCCTGGATTTTAGTGTTTCTGCAGTGTAGCTGAAGCTTGAGTGTTTCTTTCTTCTTTCTAAAGCCTTTTGAGGTCAGTACATTGTGGGGTAGGATTCCCTTCTAAAAGATGTGCTCGTAGCTCAGGATTCTGAGGTGGAGTTTTTGAAAGTCTGATCTCATAGCTTTATATAGTTCAGCGCAGTCTCTCATCATTACATTGTTAAACTTCCTCCTCTACAATATCACATCAGCTTAACTCTTTCCTGGAATTTTCTGATTTCTCTCACTATGGAAAGGCCACCCCCTAGAACTTAAACGCTGCAAAAAAGAAAAGAAAAGTGAGAGCAGATACTTTAACACAAATTCTGCACAAGGGTGGAAGGTAACTGCACATTTCTTGGCTATAATAACAGGATGTTCATGCTGAATTTTGTAAAAGGTGTACTAAAATCATCATACCATTGGAGGCAATGTTCAGAAAACTTTCATAAATTCAAGAGTGTCATTTAAAATGAGTTATTTGTAAGTTATTTATAATGTTAGTGATTTGGATCCAGCCAAACATTTCCATGAACAGAAAGCTTTCTGTCCATGGAGCATTACTTTCTCACCTCCCATCTCCTGTTACAGCCCCATACACCCCCTAAATGCTGCCCCTGGAGGACATTGGACCACCAAGTATAGTAATTTTGGAGACATATGGAAGTACGGCAAGAATGGGCAGAAATCCTTCCCACTATGGAAATGTTCTGTTGGAGCCAAGCCAATAATGTAAGCCCTATTCAGGGTAGGTAACAACTTGCCAAAAACTCAGAAGGTTCGATACTACAGTACATTCTAATTACTTTACATGATTATTTCATGTTAACTTACCAATTTTAAAAATATTATTTAAAGTTTTATACTATTGCCCCTAGGATTGACTTAAATTGTCACCGATAGCATTTTGGGTGCAAAACAAAGCTTCGGCACATTTTGGCTTGTTATTGTCCATGTGATGATCCAACCTATGGGTGATGATGCAATCAAGAAAATAACTTCAGGATGCTACACAGTCAGATTTGGGTACACATTGATAGCATAAAGCCAAATCAAAGTTTAGGCAATGCTTCCTGGTCTCATTTGGAATGAGAAAAATATGACATACAGAGGCACCCCACCTCCAACCCTTCCCCCCCATCGTTCTGATATAATTTATAACAAAGAATCACCATATCCCACTGATTTTCCTCATGTCACCAAGTTTCTGAAATACCCACTATGTCTATTTCCTCCCCAACACCAAGCATTCCAACTCCCTGATTTTACCTCAAACACTTCTAGCATTTGTGTATAAACACCTATAGTTTTTCATGCATGTTAAGCCCACAACCTTCCTCTTGCTGCCTCGAGACCTTGCCAGACAGTCCATATCATTAGCCACAGTCTCAGTGGACAATTCTAATTCATTTCCTTGTAGAAATGTAACAGCTACCCCTTCATCTCTTTGAGATGAGCCATCCTGAACCAGAGACTTTTCATCTTCTGTCAGCTTTTCCCCAATATTCAGTTTAAAAACTGCTCTGCCACCTTTTTGATTTTAAGCGTCAGCAACCAGGTTCCTTCTTGGGACAAGTGGAGACCATCTCTTTTGTACAGCTCCCTCTTGTTCCAAAAAGCATCCCAGTGCCTAACAAACTTGAACCCTTCTCCCCTATGCCATCGTCTCATCCATTCATTGAGACCCCTGATCTGTGTCTGTCTCTCCGGCCCTGCGTGTGGAACAGGTAGCACTTCTGAGAAGGCTACCTTGGAGGTCCTGACCTTGAGTTTCCTGCCTACAAGCCTAAATTTTTCCTCCAGGACCTCACGGCTACATTTCCCCACATCGTTGGTGCCAACATGTACCACAACCACTGGCTCCTCCCCAGCACTGTCTACCAGCCTATGTAGCACACGTAATGTCCGCTACCTCCGCACCAGGCAGGCAAGTCACCATATGGTCAGTATGTGGGTTTGCCACCCAGCTGTCTACCTGCCTAAGGATCGAATCACCAATTACCAAGAGGCCCCCTCTCTCCCTCCCTGCACAGGGATGGTTCCTTGGTGTGAAAGGATACCCATTCACCAGCCGAAGAAGAGGTCCCTTCTGATGGCACATTCCTCTTGTCTGCAGCACGGTGCCCTGTTTCCCCTCAACTCTCATGCTCCCTGACAGTGGCAGGGCTGCCATATTCAGAGTGGGACATATCTAACAAGTCCCCAAGAGTCTTTTCCGTGCGCCTGACTGGCTCTGCTTCTCCAGGTCTGCCACCTTGGCTTCAAGGGAGCAAACTCATTCCCTGAGAACCAGGAGCTCCTTGCACTGGGCACACACCCAAGACTTCTGTCCAGTGGGCAGATAGTCATACATGTGAAACTCCATGCAAAACACTGGATAGCTCCCAACCCCCTGCTGGCATTCTGGCTTCATAATTGCTTTTAAAATAATAATTATATACGATCCCCCTTTTAAAACACTTTGTATTTATGTGGTTCTCCTTGTCAAAGTCTACTTACCTTACTGGGAACCCAAGGAGACTAGGGCCCTGACTTTCTGGCTCTTCCTGGTTTTCTTACAGAGTCCCTAGGCCAAGAGCCCTTTGGCTCATGCCTCTGGCAAGGTGCTGCCTTAAATAGAAGCTTTCCTCATCAGAGGGTGTGGCCAGCAGCTATTCAAATTCACCCAGGCACTCTATTACAGTCAAACAATGACCCTTTCACACCCTATCTCAAGCAGCCAGGACTCTGCAACAACTCACAACTCACCCACACACTCCCAAACACAGTACCCTCTCAGCTAAATCACCTCAGCTGAAAGTAAATAAAAAACACTCACCCCTCTAGCAGCTCTATTTCCTGCTCCTTCTCAGAGCTCAGCTGGGTCAGCTCTGCTTCTGGCAAGGTGCTGCCTTAAATAGAAGCTTCCTGCCTTAAATAGAAGCTTCCCCCAGCAGAGGGTGTGGCCAGCAGCTAATTAATTAATTAATACATTAATTTTAGAAGCTGTCCAACTAAATAGTCAATAGACACTAAAGTGGGGTTGAGTTACTTACTTACTTATTTATTTATTTATTTATTAGACTTTTATCTCGCCCTCCCGCCAAAGCGAGAGAAAGTGGGGTGTGGGTTTTGTTTGCAAAATTTAATGCAAGGGAATTCCCTAGTTGCTTATGCTTTCATTTATGCCCATTTACTGATACAACATAAGAACTAGTATTTTTAGCTCAGGACCGGAAACCATTGCTGCAGGGGAAACATGTGTTGTCATGATATGGTGTTCCAGGTTTTATGTACAGAGAGAACCATTTTTACACCTTTTTTACATTTTGTGTTTAAAACTTAGCAGGCATAATTTGGTGGCAGGTAAAAATACTTGATTTTTTAAAATAACATCTTAAGTGGAACTTACACAATGAGAAGGGCTTACACATATTAGCACCATGCTTGGAAAGGATTTGAAAAGTACTAGATCTTACCCCAATTTAAAAAATTTAAACAAGTTAATTTTATTAAAAACAGCAGAAGGGTCTGAAGCATTACACGACACCACAGTTCAGCAGATAAAAAGGCATTGTTTGATTGCTAAAGCTTAGTCTAAATGACACAGTCATCACAGGGACATTTCTTAGAGTGGGGTAATTTTTTGGATTAGTTTATAAAACAGAGCAGGACAAGTTCACCCATCCACCATACCTGAAACAAGTATGACCTCTTGTGTGGTTGTTTTTGGCTTAGGTATTTATGTGGGCTTATCTCGAACAATGGATCAGTTTTTACAGTGACAGCGCAATCCTATGCAGCGTTACTCCAATCTAACCCCTTGAACGGGCTTAGACTAACGTTATGCTATGTAGAATTGTACTGTTAATTCACCATATGACACATGGTAGAAATGCTGAGAAGTGTCTTACATATAAAACAACAGTTAGAAAACCTTTGTGTCTTAACAAGCGTACTGTTGAGATGTCTAACACGTGAGCCCGTTTTTCAAAGAACTGACATGTATGCTAACTTCAGGAACTGGGAACTGGTCACATTTGTCCTACATTTTCCAAACTATTTTTGTGCATTTTAATAAATAATCCAGCATGTTATAGAAACAGAGCTCAATTTATGCAGCAACTTAACTCAGAATCCATTTTTCACAAAAACTTCTAAGTCACATGATATGCCAAGAGAGAATGTGAAACCAATACATAATTCTCAATATGGTCAAAACCATGGATACTTAAATCCAGAGATTGGAGACAGGCAAGAATATATTTCTACAAACCTGAACAATGCCACAGATTTGCAGAAAAATCTGAAATATAAAAATAAATAAATTGGGTTGGTTAAACTCCTTTCCCCAAATAGAAGCAGTACCTGTAGCTTTAAGAAACAAATACTCTCTGTAGCTGTTGCTACTCAACCATACAGTATAGCAAGTCTTAAAGACTTGGTTTCTGTCTGCAAAAGGCAGGGGGAGGCGGCAAAGCCCTTTACAGGGCCGTTTTGGCCTTTGAGGGAGAAAGCAGGGATAAACTAGGAGTGAAAAGGGACCTACATTCGCCCCACTCTAAAAGGAGGGAGGGAGAGAGGAAGATGAAGTTTGCTTGTTGATGTCCTGCTCCTGAGGAGAGGCATCCCTCATTTGGCTGGGTGCTGTCAGCCTCACTTCACACATGACTTGGGCACCACCTCACCTTGCATGAGGCATGGGCACTGCCTCCCCCTGCATTGTGCAAAGCTTGGACAGAACACATGCAGCCCTTCTGTCACAAGGCTGGCCTGGCCCAGGTGGTGGTGGGGATATTGGCCCACCAGGTGGTATCCTGGTGCCCATAATGGCTAATCTGCTCTGGAAGGAGAAATCTTAGCTGGGCCTGGCAGCAACCACTGGGCAATTTGCTTAGGCCCTGCTGGTTGCTACTGTTGAAGAGTAGCCATTTTCTGCACCTTTTCTGGATAGCTTGGTTGGTGAGTAAGAAGGAAAGAAGGAAGCAGGAAAAGGAAAGGATATGGGGATTGCCAGGAGGGAAAGAGGAAATGGGGAAGGGGATGCAGGGGAAAACAAGGTACCCCCTGCAAGTCTTGCAGGTTACCCACTGAACAACTGGGCCCAGCCTGGCAGCCAACACCACACAACTAAGCCTAGTGTCTGGAA